GGTCCTTGTTGTTTGTTTGTTTTTGGTATTGGAGAATTACTTTCCTTAAGTTCACACACCAGATTGGTGGGTGGTGGTAATGTACCCATTAAAAACAAAAGAATAAGAAGTAGGTCCCTGTCTCCTGTCTGAGACACCCATTTGGTTTTTGATTGACATCATGGTTTGTTTCTACGCTAATTTATTATCCATTGGTTATATGATGTCTGTCACATTTCCTATTGATATTTTACTGGCTAACCCGCTCACAAAATCCTCCCAGTTGGCTTGTTGGGACACGACTAGAACTGGGGTCCCCGAGGGCCTCGACACTGCTCACTCACCGACATCCGATGAGCCCCCTCAGCGAGGAGAGCCGGTATATAAGCTTCTGTGGAGGAAAACGTCCAAGAGACTGTAAATTTACAGATAAATGGAAATGGAGTTCAGGGCTTTGCTTCTGCTGACCCTGCTGGGGACTCTTGTTTGTGGAGCCGGCGTTTGGACAGAGAGGCGACATGGATATTGACGAGTGGCTGAGAGATAAAGTGGAATTAATAAAGAACTTTGAGGACAAACTTAAATGTGTGGAAAGACTGCAGAATGATGTTGGAGCTCTGGAGGCCGGGCTCAACGCGACTGTAGACGAGCTGACGGCACAGAAAGCTGAAGTGGACCAACTGAAGAAAGAGAATGAAGGTTATATATATATATATATATATATATATATATATATATATATTTCACTTTTATTTTTTTAAAACTTGTGCAGGCCTGAAAACAACACTGAATGCAACAGAGGAGGAGATCGATAGGCTGAAACAGAGTAGTGCTAAAGGTGAGATGATCAGCCTTTTACCATTTAGGTTTCTGTGTTACCAATCTTCAAATTTATACCAAACTATTACATCGTTCGTATTAATTTCTCCATGTAACTGTACACAGGTGCTCCTCAGATCGCGTTCTCGGCCTCTTTGGCAAACTTCGGGGAGATTTACAAAGGACCCTGCACAGACAAGTCCCTGATTTACAAAAGGGTCTTCTCTAACACCGGCAATGGTTATGACCAAAGTACAGGTACTGTAAAATCAATATTTATTTCCATTTTTTCTAATGGTTTGGCAAAGAAAACTGCTTCATCCGTCTCCCAGTGTTATTTTGAAGCAATTTGTTGAGATACGATTGCTGTTTTTTTCTGTGAAGTCTACTTGTAGACCTTAAATGTCCTAAGGGGGTAAAACTCACACATCAGCTTCTGGTATTTCAAACAAGAACAAACAAAGAAGAATTTGCTGATGCCGTTTGACTCGGGTCTCCAGTGTCTCCCAGTGCTGATTCTTTATTTCATATTAACAATGGGTTAAATGACCAAGTGTAATGTGAAACTCTAAGCAACACGAGTCAAATCTAAATTGATAGGGCCAGTCATTGGCTCCAACCGCTTAGTTGTTTGTAATTCGAGTAACTCATCTTTCATCTGCTTCTCTCTGCTCCGTTTACAGGAATCTTCACAGCGCCAGTGGGCGGTCTCTACTTCTTCACCTTCAGCACCTATGGCTACAACACTCACGTCATGGGGGCCATGTTAATGAAAAACGGTGCACGCCAGATTTCAACCTACGATGGCCCTTCAGCCGACAGCTCGGACAGCAGCAGTAACGCTGTCGCTCTGCAACTGGCTGCTGGTGATAAGGTGCACATGGAACTGTGGGATAACGCAGAGTGTTCGACAACTTGAATGGACACACGACCTTCAGTGGTTTTCTTGTCTTCCCTGTGTAAGTGATTAGACACAATGCATTGCACTGTGCTTTTACACCGAGGAGAGAGCGTGTGAAAATGACAAAGTATGATTATCCTCTCCTAAATTAAAATAAAAGCTCATTGATAAATCTGAAGAACTCATGCATGTTTGTTATTTGCGAAATAAATTTGAATGCAAAAATAAATGTGTGGGCCTTCTTCGGAAAGCTAGATACAAAAAACAAACTTCTTTCAGTGTCTCTCTTCCTGTATCTGGTGACCAAAGCAGCTCTCTGCAATGACTAACGTGTTCACTGGCCTCACACTAAAAGTATGACAGGAGGGAGCAGCTCCATCCTGTGTTCATAGTTTGTGATTGCGGTAGTTGGTGTAAATATATTTTTAGTCTGTTTTGTTACAGAAATAACTCTCATCCCATCCCAGGCTAGTACATTTCATCACAGGGCCTTTTGAACACGGTACACTTAGATTAAATACATGGCACCAAAAATGCTCTACATTAGATTGGTATCCTACCTTCTGCATGCCTAAAGGTTTACTTGATGTACTGTGTAAGATCAATTTACCTTCATCCAGATGTCAAACAATTGTGAGATGTGATATTGTTGACAATGGAAGAATGTTTTTTCTTCAAATTACAATAATACCATTGTTAATGCAATACGTGACGTTAAATGTAACATATAATGACATGTATATATGTCACTGTGCTTTACAAGCGGAGATCTGGTGGCAAACGCAGCACAGATGCTCGTATGTCATTGTTCGGCCCGGGCATGTTGCCCATGTTCTCCCATCTCTGTGTGGCGGGATCATACCGATGGACCGTCCCAGTGTCACTGTAGTCGTCCTCGCTGTATCCACCCAGCACGTAAAACTTCCCCTCCTGAACCGCGCCTCCTGCTCCCACATGTGGCACTGGCAGAGACGCGAAGGCAGTCCAGGAGTCAGCCACTGGATTGTACACCTCGCAATCTAGCTGGTCAACAATGCACACGCTGTCGTCCACGGTGACTCCACCTGCTACGTAGAGACGGTCGCCCAGGGTCTCCATGCAGTGACGAGCTCGGGGCTTCGCCATGTTTGCCAAATAAGAGCTTCCCGTCTCTGGGCGGTATAGAAACATAGATGCAAGACATTGGCAGTTGCTGCTCAGCCCTCCTGAGACAAAGATCCGGCCTTGTAAAACTTTTGCTACATGGCCGGCCAAAGGCAGATCCAAGGGCCACCTGAAGCTGAAGGAGAAGACATTTTTTAAGGCGAAACACTACAGGCAAAAAATGTGGGGCTATTTTGCCTCCATAACCAATCGTCTATCAGACTAATGCAGAGAAAACATTCAAAATACACATTGTTATTGCTATTTACCATAAAATATGTGAAAGTATATATTTTGTTCAGTCTGACGCATCATACTTAACATAATTGCACATTTATATCAAATGAAAGTATCAGGTTATAATGACTGTGCTGTAAAACTGTATCAATATGATTGGTTATTACCATTCAGCTGGTAGCCAAACAGCTGGCGAAAGAGCCAGTAATTGTGAAACAGCTAATGTAAGTTCTGCCTGAACATTACGCTCCATAAAGCTGTAAAGGTTTTTTGTTTTTTTTTATCTGTTATGTTAAATAGACAATTCATTGGATTGTCTTAGCACCAGCTGCATTGCATTCCCCTGATTACCCCTCAGCTGATTCAAATTGTCCGCACTATTTAAGGTTGAGTGTTAGTCAAAAATACTCTTGCTATTAAAACTTAAAGTTATTTTTATATTTCTGTCCTTTTCTCACCAGGGCACGCTCAACCGACTCCCCTCACCCAGGAGGCCGATGTTCGTGTCCCGTGTGAAAAACAAGTCAGCGGTAACTAATTTACACACGACATAAGAAATGACGGAACATAGTTAATTTAACCCAAACCGTGAGGTTTTCTATCCTAATCCTAGCCAAAACGTTGTGTGGCCTAAACCTTATGGAGTAGTATTGTTGCCGAAACCAAACGTTAAATTTTTCAACCTAAAACTAACATAAAATTGTTAAAGCTAACAATGTAGTTTTGTTGCCCAAACCCAACGTTAAATTGTTTATGGTCATTTTTGTCTTAGGCTAGGATTCTGTAACTTATTTACTTAGCATTAAGTATAATCTGATATCCGCATTTCCAATCACTCGATGTTGAAATTCTCAACAGGAGTCAGTAGACTCAATTTTGCAACTGCATCTGGTTTTATGTTTAGGTTTGTAAAGTGTTTAGCAAGCAATTCATAATGGCTGCTCAGCGAATCACTGCCTACACAACATGCAGATGTGTCGTACAAGCTACCTTGGTAAATGGTTGTCAGGGATATTTAGCAAGACTACACGCTTGATGCATATAGCAAATGCCCTTTATTTTGAAAAATCAATATCCTTTCCAACGTACCTCCAGGAGTTTCCAGTGGGGCAGTATCGTTCCACACTCTCAATATATTCAGGGTCACAATGTCCACCAATGGCATATATCTGTCCATCCAGCACCGCCACAGAGAAAGAGCATCTCTTTTCCTGCATTTCGGCCAGCCTCTCCCAGCTGTTTTGAAGGGGGTCATACCTAACAATATGTTCAAATGAGACAAATATGAGTAATTGAGACATGACTTTAAAACTGTAATCATCACCTCTCTCACCTGTAACTAGAACTCAGGGTGTCGCCGATGCCGTAGTACTTCTTCCCTCCAAACACGTATAGTTGTCCTTTGAGGACAGCCACCTCATGACTGTACCTCGCTGGCTCTGGCATCTCTCCCAACTTTCTCCACTCCATGGCCTTTTTTATCCCTATATGGTTCCTCAGGGAATTCACAAACCAGAGTTCTCTGCTGATGCTGCGGTTACCCAGGTCTTCAGAGATCTGGTCGCCTCCAATCAAGACCAGACTCTCTTTCGGGAGATAGATCCGGCAGTGACTCTCATTCGAGCAGTAATCCTCAAAAACTGCTTCATAGAGGTCCGCCAGGCTGCGATCGGACCACATATTCAGCGATTGGACCTCTTTGAATTCCTCGGACGTCATCAGGGGAAAGTGGATGGTTTTCATTAGTTCTTTAGCGAACTTCAACCTTTTTCGGGGTTTTGCTTGGATCCATGCTGCCACTGCTTTGAACATAACAAGCTCAGATGGAACACAGAGCGAGCGACTATTTAAGTACTTCAAGAGCTTTTTGACTGGCAGGTCCTTGAACTTTGAGAAACGAGACACTTTTTGGAATTGCCGCTGAACAAAATCATCTGCGACTTCAAGAAGCTGCACCATCTCGTAGGCCTCCGCAAAAGATGCCACATCCAGACAGGAGTGAGGATTTATTTCTTGATGCAGAAAGTTGAGGCACAAGGAGAGGGCAGGCTGGTACTGGAGCTGGAGAGCAATGCTGGTGATCTCGAAGACACAGCTCCAGCTGATGGGGATACTCCCATCATAGGAGCAGTCAATCAGAGCCTCCAGCTCTGATGCCAAAAGGAAGGGAAGGGTCACGAAAGGCTGATGGGACTCCTTCATCCCCGAGGTGAACATGCCACGGAAGTAGTCGCTGCACACAGCCAGGATGACTCTGTGGACTGAAGGGAGGATGATAATGAGTACAGCCGATGTCATGAAAAATGTGTTGGCAATGGAATTGGCATTTTGCATTAACCATACAGATGAGTTAGCACGCCTTAAACATTTAATTACAACTGTTAGCAGAATCAAAACGTCTGGTTGTTGCATGTTCGGCTGTCCGAATCGATCAACAGCTGACTCAAATTTTACAGAATTCCTTCAGGATTTCAATCGTTTCAGAGCAACAGGTGTTTCAGTTTAACGTGTGACCGTGTTGACCAGTGACTATCAGCCGAGTGCCTCCTCAGTTGGTTATAGTAACTTACGTAAAGTGGTTGGCGTGGATAAAAAACACAGACGAGTTCTGTTCGTGTTTTAAACTCACTAAAAGCACACAGATATGGAAAGTCAAACTGGTTTGGTTGCATTGGTGATCTTTAGTTGGATGGTTAATGCCCTTGCATAGATTGACAAGCTGAGTGTGTACACTTGCGTACGTCATCGTTGTTCTACTCACCATAAAGCGATCCTCCGAGAGCTTCCAGAATGACATCACAGCCCACTCTTTCCATCCTCAACTGTTTGATGGACTGAAGACTGATCTTCATTTGTTCTGCAGCCGAGATCTTGTCGTCTTTCCCCTGCCCTCCAGTTTTTGTGTACTTTTCCTCTTCCTCTTTGCAGAGATCCAGCACCCTAGGGGCGCCCAGCGTTTGAGCTGCAGCCTTAATCTGGTGCCATGTGGTCTGGTTCAAACATAATATGAGTCCAGTGTAGGCGAAATCCACAACTGCCTTCAATCCAACCTGATCCACCTCTGGACCCAGAGACACTGTCCAACTGTGGACTCCAACACTTGCATCTTTTCTCTCATTAACTCTCTCATTATCTACACTACTTCTACGGAGTCTTTCTCGGATACGGAGGCTGACAGCAGCAAGGACAAGGGAGTGTACGTGGAAACTCTTCCCTTCCTTTGTGCTCAAAGTAAGGTCAGTGAGAAGGGAGGAGTCCCTGAACTCTGTCAAGGTGCGGAATACGTCAGTGCGATAATCATCGTTGCAGTAAATCTTTACTGTGTCTTCGTCATTGCCATCTGCTTCTTCGTCCGTCGAATGGTCTGCTTCCTCATCATCTGTAAACTCTTCCTCTTCCCTTTGAAGCTCATTGCGATCAATTTGAGACCCTTCTTCTTGAGTTGTCCGAGATTCTACAATGGCTTTTTTCTCATCTCTCAACTTCTCATAGTCATCTTCAGCTTCTTTTCTGTCCTTAGAAGTCCACGTTCCTGGGTTGCTATTTTCATTCCTCTGTGACTTTTCATCAGGATCTTCCAGTTCCACGGGATCCTTATATTGTTTCTCAACAGCACTCACTTCAGTTTTTACTCTGTCAAAGTTGTTTAATCCATCCTCTGATCCCGTCAACTCAGAATCTGCATTATCGGATTCCACTGAATCAGGCAAGTGTTCTTCATTGACTGTTCTGCGCTCTCGCCTCGCACTACCTTGGGTTTGCTGAATGTTCTCATCCTCAGTTCTTCTCATGTGTTTTCTTGATTGCTCTGCAGGGTGATATTGCCCAATTTGCTCCTCTTCCTCTTCAACCTGCTCCTCTTCCCTGATTGCTGCCACCTTATCCTCTCGCTCTACCCCGGCTTCCTCAAGCTCCTCTACTTTTTTCACCACCCTCTCAAAACCTTCTTTTTCTTGCTGCTCTACCACCTTTTCTTCTGCCTTCTCACCTACTTCATTTTCTTCCCCTTCCTTGCCTTCACACACTTCTTCCTCACAGCCCGCAGCCCCTGCCGCTTCTTCTTCTTCTTCTTCTTCTTCTTCTTCTTCTTCCTCCTCTTCGCTCGCCTTTAATCTAACCCACAGACTCAACCTCTCCCTCCATCTCCTCTTCCTCAGCCTCTCTCTTCTCCACTCATCCAAGCCCTGGAGGCATTGATTAGCTTCTACTGCCATACTGTCCAGTATCACTCTGATTTGAGCTGATCCTTGAAATCCCTCAAAACATTCACACCTCTCGAAGCCAAAAGATTGCAGATCACTTACTTCTTGAATGGTTTATGAGGAACAATGCACTGAGAAACTCCTGTACGTGCCGTAGTGATCCGCTCTTTGGATGCTGCTGTTATTGTTGCAAACTCCTTCACCTCTTTGCCCGTCTGCAGACACCAGCTCTGTTGTGTTTCTGTTCCTCTCCTGCCTCTCCCTCCTCCTGCATGTGTTGCATGGTTGGGCGCGGCATGTGAACCCATGAATCCTCTTATAACCAAAGAAGTTGCTATATTCAGAGTACTATGTCACGATGTAATGTAAATTCTTGACTTTTTGGGATGCCATGTCTGAGACCCGACAAAAGTTTGACTGGTTTATGCACTATAATGTAATGTTACGTGTCACACCACGTTGGTTTATTCCACCTTTGGTTCCTCAATTTGTACTTTTTGAATAATGTATCATGCACAGTACATTTACAGGCCATGCAGTCTATTCTATTGCTTTTTATTGTTTCCACTTTGCAGCCTATTCCTGTCGTGATCAGTTCTGAAGTTATACTGTAAAGATTTGACCCAAGCAAGTGATAAAAGAGGGAATGATCTAGACCTAGAGGCAGCTGGATTTCTTCCCGTCCGAACCAAACTGTCTGTGGTCTTTGGGGTCTTGGCATCTTAATTCTGGACCATATGTCCCTGAGATTAGTAATGAATGCTCCGAGGGTCACCAGTGGGATCAAATTGCTCCTCCACATCCAACACCAGTGGAATCTGGGTCAAGGATCGAGAGAAGTCAGGGGAAGAAGGAGAACAAAACAACTCCATTTACACCTGTTGCCCTTTGTGCTGACAGAGAAAGCAAGCAGCTGGGTCACACTGTCACCTTGACTCGAAATATAGTCGCACGGCTCACAAGTGCAATAGCTGGCAATGGATCATCATAAATATCCTCTCTCCTTGTATTGTACCACACTTTTAGAATGGCATTGGGTTGCATCAGATCTTCAAATTCACAACAGTTTGTTTGTTAAGTCCTTCCTAAGTTTTTATTAAAGAAAGAGGCATTGCAAATAGTTGTTTGCTGTTATGTTAGAATCCTGTATTGTATCTACTGCCTAGTTTTCAAACTAGTGACAACTAGCAAGCATTTTCTGAGTCGTCCGCATTTCAAACCTCTTTTGCGCTTTAACAGGGTCATATTAGCCTCAACCAATCAGTAGCGAGTCAATTTCACTTGACTAGGAGCCACTAAGTTGACAATTTAACATTTTTCTGTTGCGGTTTTTCATGAATATAGCTAATGTTTCCATTCTTTATTCTCCAACTGATGGAAACAGCTGTAATGGGTGAATACATCTAAGATACAATTCAGAGGTCTGCAACCTACACTTTAGGTGGCCCAGCATTAAGGAACCGCACAAGTCCATGTTCCCAAATTTAAAGATCTTGTCTTTAACCTCGGGCCTCTAAATGCTCTGAAATAACAGCTCTTCAATTGTATCGACACAGGGTGAGTTTTTTTTATTGAGATGCTTTGAAGTTGAAGCACTGTGAGTGGGTGAGTTGGAAAATGAAACTGGTGGGCAACACACTCCTACCTGAGGACGCAATGACTCTGGTCTTTTCACATATGAGGCACACACACACACACACATGTGCGCAGAGATTTAACAAGCAGTCAAGTGAGTCAGGTTATTATTCAACCCTACGCAAAAAGGAGAAGTTGAATGTATTTAAATAAATTGAGGACTTAAGCTGCACATTTGACATTTTGAGACATTCTGAAGTGCCACGTAAAAAAAAAACCATGGTGTGCTCTGGAGGACAGCAGACTTCCATTAACATGTTTGTAACACTGCAGACGTTGTGGTGTGCACATTATCGCCCACAGTGAGTGCTTCGCTCTGGGCAGCAGCTCACAATCTACTTATGAAAAGTCCTGATTGTTACCATAGCGACACACACATAACCTTGTTATGGGACCATCCTCCTCAGGCCGTCTTCTTCAAGAGCAGCACACACTGCTGGGACAAGAAGAGGCCGATTCCTCTTTATAATCTTCTTCTTAATAGCAGCAGGTGAAGCACTGTCTTCACTTATCAAAGCTTTCACTGTTTCTTATTTTAAACCTCTATCAACACTTTTTTACTCTGAAATGAAAGCCGGAGAACGCCCACATTTGTACTAGTAGCATGAAGCTGCAGCTGGTTAGCTTAGCTTAGCATAAACACTGGAAACGGGGGGAAACAGCTAGCCTGACTGAAGGTAATGAAATCAGCCTAAAGCTGGGACAGCATGTGGCTGGTATTTTGTTCATCTTGGCATTTTTTGTAACAACAATTTGTGGTGTTATGAGGCAGGCAACTAGAGACTAAGAAATAATCCCGTACAAACTGCTGATATTTACAACAAGGAAGCTGTTTCTTGTCAAAATACAATCTAGTTTTATTGAACCTCTATGACTCCATGAAACACAAAAGTGAACACACACACATGGAGATACATTTAAGACAGGCAACAGGCTGAAAGATAGAAGAAGAAAAAGGTTGCTGAACATGAATCGGATTGACTCATACTGATACGTACAACCTGATCTTAATTGGGAATGAACATTTTGCAAGAAGGATGCAAGAAACTGTGGAAAAGAAAAAAATCACAACTTTCAAAAACATACAAAAACAACAAAACATACAATACAGAGAACGCCACGGCTTTTATTCCAACTATTTCAGCTTGGAATGAGTAGCGTGACTGATTGTCAAGCTCAATTTCCTTCTTAAATAATAATTCATAAATATAGATAAAACATAAATATCATTATTCAATATAATAGTAAACAACTGTAAGACTGTTTGAATTGCTTGAACATAATTAAAAGCTCATTTTATTGTGAGGTCGGTATATTTGACTGAAAACACACACGAGTCCAAGAAGAAGAAGAGGAAGAATTATCCATCTTTTTTGTAAATATGTCTGCAACAAGTAAAAGTATACATGTAATCTACTCATTAAACCAACAGATGTACTGCCAGATCATGAGCTGTATCAGATCTATTCTGCTATTGCTTTGTCAATTGGTTCATGCTCTATTTTAAAACTAACTCCCTGTCCTCCAAAGAGAAAAGGGACGGGGCCAAAAAGGTGACGACAGTGCCAAAGAAATAGGAGACTTCTTCTTTGCATAGTTCAGCAGCATCGTCTTGTTCCCACTGAGACTGTTTTTATTTTATCTTATTACGTTTTGAATGTACCCGTGAAGCCCTGGAACCTTCTCCCCCTGCGTCTCACTCCTGTGGCTCATTAGAATAAGGAGTGAGACGAGTCCAGGTCTATTTTTACAAACGAGGGGGTGAGAAAGCGAGACGGAAGGTGAGATTTCACGAGGCAATAGCGAGGGCTGAGTTTATGTCGTTTTTTCCCGTCGTGAACAGATTCTGGATGTGCAGAGAGTGAATGTATTTGAACCTGTGCCTCTCTGGATATAATAAAGTTTAAAATCTGTGTATTCTGGGAGGGAAAAAAAAAATATGGATGGTTACGTCTACTAAAGCATATCTAACTTACTATCCTCTGTAAAGCACCATCATTTCTGTTTACATTGTTGTGCCACCCACTGCACTGTGGGAGTGAGTGGAGCTTTTTTGTAATGAAACTATCCTCTTGAAGCGGAAGTGTCGCGTCAAGCGCTGGCCCACGGTCGAAGGAGAGACACGATAACGATGACGAGGGAGAGGGAGAGAGGCAGCAGGAGGAGGAGGGCGAGAGGGAGAGAGAGGGAAGACGGCCACAAAGACGTCAGACGTTTGGAGCCTCGGGGAAGCTCCACCGGCCTCTCCGCGTTTGGCCGGCAGATGACCAGTGGCCTGACCTGTGATACGCTCTCCTGGAGGACAAAGAACAAGAGGTGGGGGTCAGTGTGGTACGGACAATATGTTTGACGAAATAATGTACATTTGAAGAAGTATAGACTGATAGAAATTCAGTTTCTTCCGGTTTAGCTGCAGTTTATCTCCAGTCCAGCTGACGCCCTGCAACTTTGGTTTATCTCAACCCAATTCTAAACTGCAGCTAAGCCAGTAAATAAACTATGTCACACCGCAGCTCTGTGCACTGAGACTAAGTGTTTTCTACCTCCAGTATGGTCCTGCTGTGCGCTCTGTCAGGACTGAGCCTGAGGTTCCAGCGGTGCGACCTGTGGCTTCGCCCGCCGTCGTCCTCGCTCTCGGTGGTGTCTTGGCGCGCGACCTGCGGTCGCTTGCGTCTCCGCGAGCTGATTCGCTGGAGAGAACCTGATGGCTCCTGGAGTCTGAACCAATCGGGTTGAAGGCACAAGGTCAGAGGAAACAGTGCTGCGTGCGAGTTATGCTCGTGTGTACGTGAGTGTTTTGGTGCACAGCGAACCTGCAATCTGTGTCCTCTATATCAGCGTCTGCATCGCTCTCCCCCTGAGGGTCAGACAATACGCACTCCTCCTGCAGAGGAATGAAACACATTAGATATTGAATCAAATACAAAAACGTGGGGAAAACAGACAAAAATAATATGCTCGTAGTTGTGACGTTGTTTTCGAGAAAGATTTGAAAGCCTTTTATAAATAGGCCTACAACCCCCACATTGTTGTATGAGGCTTTTATTTTGTAGTCCTTGGATGAAACACAGATGAGCCCCAAGTGAATCATCACCGACCGCCACTGTTTGTAAACCAAACGCAGCAACACTTGGCATTTATCTGCGTGCGTGTCGTCGTGCGTCACTCTTTATTATCACCATTATTATTATGTGAATCAGCGGACACCTCTACACATGACTAATAAGCTCAGACACCTAATCTGCTGGTTGCTTCCTACTGATTTTACTTTGATAGTACTGTGTACATAAAAAAACACAATTTTAGAAATACAGCCTTATTTTATTTCGTCAAAGTTCAACGAATGCTTGTGTTTCGATTACACTTAACATTTGAGATGCTCTGCCTAAATTAATTGTATTCCTTTATTTAGTTTATATTCCTAAAAATAAATTATTTAAAAAAGTATCACTTTGGTAAGTCTAAAACTCTACATTATACATATATTATCGGAGTTTTTTACCTAAAAGTAGTTCCATGAACGCTACATTTTTTGTCCATGGAAACATCTGAGGGCCCTATATTAAGCATTCATTTTACCCTCATAATTTAGACGATTTAAAGAAATAGTTGGCATTTTGGCAAATATGCCCTTTAGTCTTTTTTGGCTGCAACTAGAAGACGGTGAGCTTAGCTTAGCACAAAGACTTGAACCAAAGGGTAACAGCTAGCTTGGCTGTGTCAGAAGGTTTAACAAAATCAACCTACCGGCACCTCTAAAGCTCACTAATCATATCTCCTTTGTTTATTGTTTATTGTGTATTAAAAGAGTGGTATTGATCTTCTCATCTTACTCTTGAAGCAGAGTACGTCCCAAAATGTTGCACTATTCCTTTAAATAAATTTTAAAAAAACGGGGCTAATAATATGGCTTCCATGAACAATATTGTGTCTTCTAAAGTTAGTTAGTTTGGAACATAAATGATGTCATTCCTCTGTTTCCAAATATCTCTCTCGGTTTTCCTCACATGCTGAAACCTTGAAGCGGACAAAGAAATACAAAACAGCTGCCTGCTAAAAAAAAGGCAACATAAATAGCAAATCTACAGAATCTACAAAACTGCTTTGTTGGGTTAAGGCAACCAAAGTAGTTAGGTTTAATTTAAAAAAGCATCATGGTTTGACAAAAAAATACTACTTGTTTATGTTTAGGCAACAAAAATTACTACTAATACGTGAAAGCAAACATAATCCACAAGAAAGTACATTTCCCACGAAACCTATTTAGAATGCAGTTTTGTCGTGTGGGAAGGTCATGTTGTCGGAGACACACAGCAGGCCACACATTACCTCTGTGCCGTATCCCTCAGAGTACCTGGTCATCATTACCCTGTTTTTCCCACAGTGCTCACACAGCACTGTGTCCTGAGAGCAGAGAACAAAGGAGATAATGATTGAAAGAACTGTAGCAATCTGACCACATCATGGACAGTAGTACCTTTAAAACATACTGTGAAGCGCACACAGACAGACAGCAGCAGATGGGTAGAGGTGAAAGGTGTGTATTTAGAGCACGATTACAGATGAAGAAACATCACTGAGCGGCAGCCACGGACTCTTAAGTGGTGAGCCTGAGCACTCACCGGCGTGGGCGCGTGTGCTTCAGAATAAAGTGTACAGGGACCGGCCTCGCACAGACACACTACATCCACCTCTCCACAACTCGCCCCCATCTGAGACAAAGACAGAGAGGATACACAACTGCATATTAACAAAAGGTGGACGGACACAAGTTTGATATAATGTAGAAAGAGCGTGGACGGTTTCTGGCTTTCAACCTTTTCCACCTACTCTCATTTCAAACTGCTCTAAAGTGGAGGAGTTGACTGGCACCGCCATTGACGTCTGAGCTACGAAGGCTGATGAATCCACGTCATTCAGTCAAAGAACATCAACGCAATAATCAAAATACATGACGGTATGCTGTCCGTCCGCCAGATGTTGGAGTCCAACATATTGTATCATCATCTGATTACTTATACTTAAGGTAGAAATGTAACTTTGTGTCAATTGCAGGCCACAAAAATGTGATGAAGCTGCTTGAATAGCATATGTAACGGGTGTAAATGAATGAACTCACCTCACAGTCATTGTCGGACGTCTCTCCGGAGGAGAAGAGGCCGTGGGGGTCAGATTCTGTCCGCAGCATGGCCTCCGACCCGGCTCACGCACTCACGTAGACCTGCTGCAGCGCATGAACAGCTCAGTAACGGCAGGTTTCAAGAGGCTGAGTTGAAAATGTGATAGTGGTGAAAGGCGATAATATTCAACATTATCTGTGCAACTATGTCATGATGATCTAATAATATTACTTCATGTTTTTTTTATATGATGCAAATGTCTATGTTATTCTAATTTATTATCTATATATGTTTATGTTTTTCATTGATAATATAGGCTAATATTCCTATATATTTATATATTTTTTTAATTATAGAAATTAGATTTTCTTTTTTGTATCGGGTGCTCCAGTGGTGTACAGATGATGCCATCTTTACGCAAGCAACCTCACTGGAACATCTGTCCGCACTCCCGTTACGTAATAGCCTACGACAGTCAATGTTAGCGCCGGACAACTTTTCAGATAAAGACGCGAGGGGGGGAGAAAGATGCTGTCAATATTTTCTGATGATATTCAAACACATACAATTATAAATGTACACAGAAAAATAACTTATTTCTAAGCAATGATGAAATAGAACAGAGTAACCCGTTTTTTTACCTCATGCGCATCCTGTGCAGGAACATTGGAATAAAGCCATAAAGAAGTGAATGGACTTCTGTATTTAGAGGATGAGCAGCAGAACGCGGCGACGCTTCTCATTGTGGCGCGGGGAAGCCGGGAGCTCGCGCTGCCTGCGAATGTTTGACATTGTGGCAAATCCTCCCGTATGTGTGTGTGTGCGTGGGTGATGTCAGCTCGAGCGATGACAGGCGGCTGAGGTCCGGTGTGGCGCGCGCCCACCGGGATGCCGAATGTACCGAGAGCAATCGCGGGAGCGCGCGGAATGCGGCGGGGACTTCCGTTTGGGACTTTCGAAATAAAAGGCAGTATTTAAGAAAGTCAAACAACACGTGTGGGCTTGAATATACCATATACTGTTTGTCTATATATATGCCTTTATTGAGGCAGTGACACCACCATGTGTTCTATGGCTTCAAAACAAAATCGAAGCACAAATACAGTGCTTTATTCTCACACATTCATATCCATATATTAAGAGCATAAATGCACTTTGGGTAATCAGTTGGATATAAACTTGCCCTATAGGCAAACAGCAATAAAACATTGTAAAAAATCATACCCTCAATATCGTACCAGTGGAGTCCTTTTAAGATTTTTATTACATTAATACTTTGTTTTAGTTGTGTTTATTCACAACATTCTGCTTATAATTGGTAATCCAGCCTTGCATACTTTCAGAAAAGCTTGTTTGTTTGGTCTCCTCCTATCTCTGGCAGGGTTCTCCCTCCTGGATCATGATCTGAAAGTGGTTTTGTGAACCCGCCAATCATCAGGTCCAAAGGAGGGAGCCTATGATCATACCTTCATGCTCACAACCACCACTGCATTGTTGCAATAAATGTGTGGTGCAGAGCGGTGTGGTACACCGGTATTGTAATTGTCTTTCAGGAAACTGAGAGGTTTATGCTGCATGTTCAAAGGTGTGTGTGTGTGTTTAAATTGAATTATTGCTCACAGCTCCGCTCATCTTTCGTAATAAATTGGGAAACTTGTTGGCTCATCATGATGAAATCAAGTCACCATCCATATTTGCACACATAAAAGGTAATCTAATCCACGTCAATCTCACAAAACAGCTCAGGCCAGAGACAAACTATCCCTTTTTATTTAATAGAATTTATAAATATGAGTCCCAGCTCCAGATCCGAGCTGTGGTCCATGACACTCACAACCTAGAAGACGTAAACGTTCTCAAAGCAAACTGAGTGTGATTACGTGTCGTTTTTGCCCTGATCTTTATCGTGTGCTGTAAAGACGCTGAGAGAGTTGAACTACATTCAGAGAGAGGAACAGATGAAAAGAGAAGCACACGTTTGTATACACACACACACACACACACACACACAGAAGTCCCAGGCGAGTTCTATCAAAGGAAATCACCCGGAAATGTCTGTCCCCATGGGAAATCTGTCTGTTTCAGTAGCTGCGCCACATCAACACCGAAATACTGTCCGGCTAAGAGAGTTGAGATGGTGTCATAGTGGATCATCAAATCCAGTTGAACACATATTGATTGGCAAGAAGTACAAACAAACAAAAACCTCCAGAAATGAGATGCAAAAAAAGATTTACTTTCTAAATCCTTGAAAGGGCTTGAAATTACTGTCGATAAATAAATACTAAAAAGAGCTTTTCCAAACAGAGCTCAGACTGGCCTAAATGTCCCAGGAGCCCCGTTCCCGCCTCCAGACAGCAGGGCCACTGAATGAGATAAAGTGTAATTAGGGCCGACCTAATGGTCTGAGGGAGGGATTCCTCATTACGGCTGCATGTCGACCATGCAAATGATCCCTGTGAACCTACTGTATACTGTATATGGGACTGCAGACGCTTTTATTTCACCCAGGCTGGGATGTTTTTGCAATTGCTGAACTGCATGTAAATATTTCTTCCTAAAAGGTTGCCCATGCTGGTCCTCATGCACTGCTGTCCCTAATCACTCCGTCCGCTGCATAATGATCTATTTAGTACCACGTGTGCGTGCAAACACACCGAAAATGTCTCATCAAGGCAGCTTCGATGTGTCATTATCAAGGGTGCAGGTCATACAAAAAAGGACGCATGGCGAGATTTAGTCAGTCGTGCTCTTTTATGCGGGAGAAGGGGGGGAGGCAGAGGAGGAGGGAAGTAGCAGATCTTAAGAGGCAGATAGAGACGTTTGTGTATACACAAGTAGCAATACAAACAGGAGATGCAGGCTCGATAAGGAAATTAAGGGAAAGGGTGCAACTCAAATAAGCCAAGAGCGATGCACCAACGGACAAATGCACCTCTCTCTCTCTCTCTCTCTCTCTCTCTCTCTCTCTCTCTCTCTCTCTTTTCTTTGCTCTTCAAAACTCTCACTCGCTGTCATTTACAGAAAGAGAATCAGAGAGATGAAAGTCAAGGCATAGCTGCAGAAGCTTCACTTTGGATTTTCTGGAGGCGCCACATGAAGGCGTTCCTTGAATTTTCCCATCAGAGTTGGATGCAGGACCAGAACGAACCATCCAAAAGTCATATGAATTCTTTCCCTTTGACCGAGGTCACCGTGGACTTTTGGATCAGAGCATCAGACTCGTCATTCTAGACTTGAAGAACAAACGCTGCGCCCGAGGCAATTGCAGGCTACGGTGCTGGGGAGGACAACCCGCAGGCGGTTCGAAGATTGTGATTTGGTCGCGCGAGTTATGCGCCTCCGTGGTCGACAAGTGAGGCTGAGCGTCCACGTGCATCCACTGTGTCTGAGACAAGGAAAGGATCAAGTTCAGGAACATAAGGACGAGAGCAAATATGCCCTCAATGTGATCGGATCCAAAAACAGGCCTTGTTCTTATCTAATGTGAGGAAGGGGCATGCTTTTTCCTCGAGCACAAAACAGAAATTATAACCTGGTTTGTCAGGGCAATGCAGCTGAACACCAACAGAACTTCCGCTCTGACCGACCAATGAAGGAGTCGGACCAAACCAGGGATGACCCCCAAACTTGGGATTTCGACCAGTTGTTCCTGAAACCAGCTGCCCGTCTCTGCCTCGACACTTTGGATTTCTCAGACCTCTGGGACGAGGAAGACGGTGAAGAGGACGAGGGAGCCAGCTCGACCGGCGAATCATCGGTGTGTCCCCGAGCCCCTCCGGGACCCCCTCCTCTTCCTCCCCCACCTCCTCCGCCCCCACCTCCTCCGCTCGCCCCGCCTTTGCCCTCGGCCTCGCACAAGGGCACGACCATCAAAGGCCGCACCTTGAGGCTCCACTGGAGGGAGCTGCAGAGTTTGGCTCCCCTTCCCCGAATGACGCGCTTCGGGGCTCGGACGATTTGGGCCGGACTTGAGCCTGTCCATTTGGACACAAACCGTCTGGGGCACCTGTTTGAGTCTAAGGGAAATAGCAGCAGTTTTAACGTGGCTTCTGGGAGGCAGGTGAGACCGATAGCTCGTTAGCGAGATTGTGCTAACCGATGTGTTTTTGCAGCAACAGATTTATGGAGGAACTGTAAGCAACGTACGCAATGTGAACTTTGGGGAAATTATGAGAAATTATTTAATGGAAGCTGGAAAAAAAGTCAAGTATTGGAGCGTGTGACTCAACATTTCTGCAATATTCATCAAACATTTCTGTCTAGCCCCCATCCAGATGTCATTTTTGTACCGATTGATCTGTTATGGTGGATTACAGGGCTTCAAATCATCATTTTATGAACATTTTACAATTGTCAAATACTTCTTCAGTAGGACAAATGTAACCCTAAATGCGCTCACAGAAGTACTTATGCGTAGTATCTTGACTAAACTGTCTCATATCCTTCTCTTTATCCCGCTACAGAAGCAGCCGTCGGTCTCAGTGTTGGGGATGAAGAGGAGCAACATCATCACCATCGCCCTGAGCAGCTTGCCCCCTCCTCGCCTCCTCCCCCCGGCTATCTCCAGCATGGACAGCAGTGTGCTGGACAGAGAGGACGTTCAGGTACAGCAGAGCTCGTGAGAATTTGAGCTTCGGCATTTGCTTAACCTTTAAAGTTTGTCTTTTTGTTGGACATGCAATTTATTGCCCTCACCTTAATGAAACCTGAGCAGGATGCACATAAGGACATACACAGCTACTGAACAGTTCATCTCTTCCCACATTCTCTTCTAAAACAGCGGCTCAAAGCCCTAATCCCAACAGAAGAGGAGCTGCGTCTGATCAAGGAGGCCAAGGCCCAGAACCCCCACTCCCCTCTGGCCCCCGCCGAGCTCTGCCTGCTCACTTTGGGGGAAATCCCACATCTGAACTCCAGGCTTCAGCTGTGGGCCTTCGCTCTGGACTACGACTCCTTAGAGAGGGTAAGTGAAAGTGGCATGTGTGATGGAGACTAATGGATTAATCAACAGCATTTTCATAAAGATGGATAGTCTGCTTTGCAACCATTTACATTGCCAAACGCTTGGTCAGGACCCACAGGTGGGTCGTAGAAGTTTTTATTTGGGTCGCAAATAGTGTTTTAGTTATTTAACATTTATATCTGCAGTACACTTTTGAGCCACATGAGCCTGAATGTTCGTATTGTTCTGATAAGTGTGGCCTACTTGTATAACATTGAGAATACTAAGTATTTAATGTGTGTATATGGTTTCAATAACGCATGCAAACAACAACGTTGTCTTTTTATTAAACTGAAATCTCTTAAAAATGACTGTTTTATGTATTCAAGATGATATAAGGCGATGCAAAAATGGCTGTATAAATAGTTTGCAACGTTCATTTACGCACAAATTCGCTCTTCTCGCAATTTGTGGAGAAGGCCTATCGTGAACTGGGTCGCGGTGGTTTGTCATTTAAAAAAGTTTGGGAAACACTGATGCAAAAGTGATTCAATCGACTTCTGGCAAACTGCTACACTCGCATGAGAAATAAAAACTGGATCAAGGTAGTTAGCGTGAGCGGGACTACCATGATGCCACCCACACAAGCTACGTCATCAAAACGTCCACCGTCACAGTCCTGTAGAAACCTGCAGTACCGTGATGACTTCCATCCACCGAACCATGTCACCAGACTAAAAATAACACATGGGTGTGATGGCTCACCTACTCTGAGCATGAATCACCACATTGTCCTCCTCACGACAGGAAATCGCTGAGCCTCTCTTCCATCTGAAGTTGGCCATGGAGCAGCTCGCAGCCAGCCAGACCTTCAGATGCATTCTAGCGACGGTGTTGGCGATTGGCAACTTTCTCAACGGATGCAAGGTGAGTCATCCCAATCTTCATTCTCCATCTTTAATTAATGTTTTTTGTTTTTTTTCAACTAAATTCTACTCAATTGTATTATGCCCAGGCGCGGGGTTTTGAGCTGAGTTACCTGGGGAAGCTGTCCCAGGTGAGGGATACACACACTCGCCAGCCGCTGCTGCTCCACGTCTGCGTGCTGCTGCTGCAGCTCTACCCGCAGTCCACTGACCTCCACTCCGACATCACTGCCGTCACTAAAGCTGGCAAGGTTTGTTTTTGAGTGTGCATTTGAGTAAGAAGGAAAAAAAGGAACCATGATTCCCGATGTGGATCCACTTCAAAATGCACAAACGTCCCCTCACTTTCTCTTCTCTGTAGTTCGACTACTCCCTAGTCCAGTCCAACTTCACCCAGCTGGAGGCCCAGTGCAAAGCATCATGGGAGCAGCTTAAGATTTTGGACAAGGCAGAGGAGAAGAGGAAAGGAGGGAAGGTGGAGAAGAAGAGAGGAGGAGTAGATGAGGCTCCGGCCGTGGAGGGCTCGCTCCGTCACCGGTTGCCGCGGATTTTAAAAGAGTGCGAGGAGAGGCTGAAGGTCCTGAGAGCCGTCCACCGCCGGGTCATCAACAGGTGTGCACCGATTGTTTCATTTTGTTGACGTTTTTGGTGCAAACTCCTGCTTGATGTGGTGCTTTAAGTTGCTTTGTGTCATCTTTTCCTCTACAATGTTTGAGCCTCAGGCCAAAAGTTGTCCTTCTTATTGTTGTTTAACTTCTGGACGAAAACTTTCTATTTGCTCCTCCAGGTTCCACTCTTTCCTCTTATTCCTAGGCTACTCCCGAGCTATGGTGAGGGACACCAAAGCGGAGGACTTCTGCAAAACCATCAGCGACTTTTCTCTGGAGTACAGGACCACACGGCAGGCCGTCCTCCTGCAGAGGGAGAGGGAGCGACAGAGGAGGGGAGCAGAAAGCCCGAACACGCCCGTAGGCAGGAGGAAACGTCAACAAACTCCAACACAGGTTTATTTTCCATAAATCTCAGATGCTTTTGAAAGTGAAGCAACCTTCTGGAAAATAAATGCTCAACTGGTTTTGTTGACCCGCCGTCTGTTGATCCACCAGGAGGACGAGGAGCAGTGCAGGCTGGAGGAAGTGCTGAGAACTCAAGAGTCCACCTTGAGACTGGACGTCACTCTGCCTCGAGCTCGCAGGAGGATGGCTGACATCCAAGGTGCTCTATATATACACTTCTTTCTCTCTTTATTCACAATGTGTCCTACTGAACCCTTATTTATTTACTTATTTATTCCTCAGGTCCAATTTCACGGAGAATGAAATGGTGACCCTGCTGATGTACTTTCAAAAGCTGAAAATAATAATGTTTATTCTTATTTATGACATTTTTTGTTAAAAATTATGTTTTTTTGCAGCACAAAAGCAAATGGAGAGGTACATGAAATTCCACATGCCATTCAGTTTTTATTAATCTCATATATATATATATATATATATATATATTGCCAAAATATAGCCTAAAAGCTATGGTGGAACCAAAAATCTGTTTTAGACTAGCTGTCTTTCACTTCCTTATGTACATTAACTTGTATTCTGCATTGTTACATTCTATAAATAAAATGTGTTACTTTGTATTAAATTGCTACATTACATTCTATCCCGTGTCCCGTGACATCTTGCTCTCTGTCATCCTTATGTGTGCATACACAAAAACATACAGTCTATGTTGCAAAATAATAAAGCATTATAGACATATCAGATATCAACTTTTTAAATCTGAGAAATAATGGTAAACTAGTGTAGCGCGAGGGCCTGACGTAGCTGTGGGCGGAGCTTAAACTGACGTGTCATAAGAGTTATTCAAACCAATGGTGTACAATAGCCTGGCCTGTGTCGTCATCCGTGAGCCGGACTGACAAGGGCATCTGCCACTCCGTGAGGAGTACAGCCACACAGGGGCGGCTTCGAGTATCCAATCAGGAGCCGTGACGCAGCGGTGGGCGTCACCCTCCTTCTGTTGTGCGTGCTTAGAGACGACGCCATTTCGTGTCCAACTGTTTCAAGGTGATACAATCAGCCTGCAGAGCCGTTAACGGGATCTTTACCTACTCAAGTAAAAACAGCGTTGACTTTTACTCATTTTTAGTGTTAAGCTCCTGGTGAGTATTTTTAACCGAGAGATTTTTTTCCCCCTATATTTTTATTTTTATATATTTTTTTCGACTTTGAAACCTCTTTGGGACTTTTTTTTTTTTGGTTTTCATTTTTAATGCATTTTTTTTCCTGGTATTCCTGAGACTGTGTTGAGCTTTATTTAGGTTGGCGTACATTTTGTGTTTGCATATTGAGCTGCGCAGAAACTAGTGCGAAGTAGCTTCCGCAGCAAGATCTTTTTTGTTTTTTTGGTTTTTCGAATGAAACATTTAAGAAAGAACTGCCATTTTTTTCCTCTCGTGGCTGCTGTGTTGACCTCGTTGTTTATCTGATTTGTGGTCGTATTTTCGAGGAAAAAGAAAGATGGAAGATGGTTCCAGTCTTTTCCGGTCGCCCTTTTTTCTGGAGGTTTTTTTTTTTATATCTCGTCTCGTGTTTTGCCTCCACCTGTAACGTGATGTGCAGTCGTTTAAAATTGACTCCTAAGACGTTTCCTTTGTGATTTTTGGTGTGTTTTCTGCAGCAAATCTTTCAGGAGTGATGTCATTTTTTCAGGCAAGATGTGTTTTTTTTTTTTTTTCTTCCTCTCAATGACGAGTGGGGCGTCTTTGTTTTTCTTTAAAGGAACATTAACACCTGGCACTGCTGTGTAGCATTGGTGTGACAGATTTTGGTGCATTTGTTTTTTTTTTGGTAATTCTGCTATCATGTTTTTAAAGTTAACGTGCAGATTTAGAAACCCTCATTCATTCTGCAGTTTGTACTGAGCTGTGGCGCGAGGCCTCCAGAGGGGCCTGCACCTTTAAATCCCTCTGCTCTCGAGCTATCACGTTATGGCTTCATGGTGGAGCAGTTGTTTACATATATGAGGCTTATTGTGGGGGAATCAGGGTAGACTTGCAGTTGTTGATGCCCCCTCCCCCCTTCTGAAAAAAACTGCAGGATCCCAGTTTTACCCCCCCCCCATTGGCCCCAAGTGTGTCCTCTGGAAGCGTCCTTGAGCGTGAGGCCCTCCAGGGGTCCTGTGCTCTGTGGCCCCTACAAGGAGGGCAGTTATAAGTGACTTATCTGTAGAAGTCTGAGCAGATATAAGCAGGTTGTTATTGCAGGTAAACAGTCATTTAGTAGATTTTTATTTTTTTTTTAATCTACTTTTATTTTTTTTTTAATCCATTCACTATTTATTTTGCATGATCTTCTGAGTTTCTTGGGGAAAACGATGCTCCGACCCAGATAGAGTTGGTGTTCACCTGCTAGACTAGATTGTTACTGGTTTGGTTAGAAGAAGAAAGAATCCTATACTATTAGAATAGTATGATGCGATTGTGATACACATTAATTAGTTATTCGTTGGATAATTACTCGTTTTTCAATAATTGAAAGGAAAGAAGTTCAACCCTAAATCATATTTCTGCAAAATGTTCATATTCTGTCCATAATGACATAACTGAGGATAAAGGTGTGAATTGTCTTTTTAAATTTAAATGAGAGTAGATCAGAGTGTGATTTTGATTTAATTGGTTTTGTTTATTCTTAAGCAAGATGTGTCATTGAGGGCATTATTATTTGGCTTTTTTTTTTTTTTTAATACTTATTTTTTCCTCCATACTTGTGGAAATAATAGCTCATTTTTTACAATGGCCTCTTTTCTAATATTCCGTTTTTGTTTCCCCTTGTTTAGTTTTTGAAGCCACTTTTTTGAACGGCGGCAAATCGTAAGTTGGTCTCAACCTTTTTTTTTTGTTTATTTTTCACCTCAACTTTTGCATCTTTTTTTTTTTTTTTTTTTTTTTTTTTTTTTTTTTTTTTTTTTTTTT